TATTTGCTAATTATATTCAAATGTTATAAAATTATAAATAAATTAACTTTTAAAATATAATCTGAAATCAATAATAATAATTACAGTTTCAAATATTTCAATAACTTTTCTATCTATTAGTAAATGCAATTTATGTGATACGAAAAGCCAAACGGCCATTATAATGTCTTACAATTATTCCACCCTTACGCATCAACAATTTAAACAAATAAAATAACATTTAATCAATAACATTTCTAAAATAAAACCGAAAACAGTATTTTATGATACTACGAACCTATATTAAGCAAGGCTTTTGCACAAAAAAATTATTTCACATTTTTAGAATTAAATCATAATTCAACTTTTACGTTTACGTTTACCTATTTAAAACTAAAACTTTAAACAACTGTTGCGTCTATTGTTTTTAAAATTAAAAAGTTTTAAATTGTTTACAATTGTCGGACGTTATATTATATACCCATCACGTGCATTATCTCCACCTTACTAACGAAAAACAGCAAMATTTTACGTATAAAATCCATTTTACTCTGTTGTTTTTAATATCGGAGTGAATTACTTTGCTATCAAGCTGAAAWGCAAGATTATTCTCTAGGAAACCTCGATGCGATTTTTTTAATATTTTAATTTCGAACCAAGCGATTAACAGTTTAAAATTAAAAATGTTTGTGAATTTTATTGTTCTCATACTTGCTTATAAATTCGAATAATATATAAACATAATCCCTAGACCACCTATTATAATGATAATTATATTATTCTGATATTCAGTAACAATTTTAATCTAATATAAGAACATAGGTAATACTACTAAGTACTAATAGCTTGAAATAAAGTTTATGAATTAAATCTAAATCGTCAGAATAAATAATACTTATAATACAAAATTATATAGGTATATCAACACCGTTAAAATGTATACACATATATATAAAATAGTTGTATTTAGTTTGATTTGTTCTTACCTTATCAGTAGTTTTCATACTTATAACTCGCTCAATTAAAAAAGARTTACTCAGAATAAAAATTACTAGGAGTTAATGTTAACGGTCGAAATTCATTTTTCGTAAATTACCCAAGTGCTCGMCATAAATACAACTTTATTATTATTAAATAATAATTATATTCATTGTTTTCGACATTTATAGTGATTAAAAATATCAAAACATATTATTTAGGCCAAACAGAAAAACACTAACACTACAAGAAAAAAACGAGATCCTGATGGAGCAGGTCTCTCTTCACTGGCAAGATGACAGTAGCTAGTTCACCATGTGTTCTACTCGATCAAATTAAAGAGGGGAATACAACCAGTAACGGGTTTGAGGAATACGATTCGAGGAGGGAGTATGTAGTATGTATTTAACACGTTATGTTTAAAATCACCTTCGAGAAGAATAACAAAATGGAATTTGAAACATCATATTGACCGATATAGACAACTAAAAGTTGATAAAAACACTCTAGTGCATACCTATTTAATGCTTTTAACGATTTATGTATAAGAAATTAGAATAAAGAGATAGGTATGTTGTTTCAGGATTTATAGTTTATACAATCTTAAGCTTCTATCACATTGTAGGTTTCTTAACATAAATGTACACAAGTAATGTCCATCTATGGCGTGATTATATAAATATCAATATTTACAATTTATTTATTATTATA